TAAACGTCAGATTGAAGTTAGTCTCCCTGGCCACGAGACAAACAACGGCTGCGTAGACGACTTTGGTGATAAAGCTTAACTTTGGACAAGAGTTTCATTTTTAATTCTATACGAAAGTGATTTACAAGAAATGCATTTTGTTTATACTAGCTCTCTGGTGCAAGCACCTCTCTCCTACGCAGAGCTCCCGCTGGGTATTCCAACAAAAAATAGCAATAATCAAAAACGATGGTAGAAGGGGAAAAGACCTCTCTTCTCTTCTTTTCCCTTCATATCTTCCTCTGCACGTTTTTCTTTTCCCCCCTCCCCAATCTCCCTCCCTCCCTACGACACAACCAGGTCTCTGTGGGGGAGAGATCGCGAGCAGTCCGAGCACGAAATAAATGGTGATCCAAAAGCAGTCCCTTGAAGGACCTTGTAACGGCACGTAAAAGCTGTCACACAAATCACAGACCTTCGTCAAAGATTGGGGAGTATCATTTTTAGTTTAAAATCTCTGACAAGGTTAACCATTCACACTGACAAACTTTTACTTCACGTTATAAGTACCTTTTCACACTTTTACAGTTTCAAGATAAATACTTCTTTTAGTAATAAATTAACTGAAAGATCAAATATCAATTTTGGATTTTCCATTTTCTTTATAAATCCTTAGTAACATCTCTAGTGGGTTTTCTGCGATTCGGTGACTTTGGAGGTTTGGGTGACAATGGAGGTGAGCGGTTCGTAGGCATGCTTGATTTTGTTTTTCTGTTATACCTGAAAGTAAGTTAATAGAGGACTAAACAAGTCTTAACTAAAGCGGTAAAATATTACCTTAGTATGTAACATGAAACTGTGTTAGATGGAATACGCGTCAGGCTGATTTAGCAACAGAACGGGAACGTCATTTGACAAAGACGGGAAAGCGTGCGGAAAGGACTAAACTCTACTTCCGGTGCCCAATTTGTCGCTCTGCCATTGGTCAAGCCAGTTGTTTGATCATGATTTGCGCGCGTCGTCGTCAACCTGGTCGTCATTTGACCTTCCCTTTCTGTTGTAGTAACAAGGTCAAATGTCCCAAGAATCTCCTTCACGATTGGGGTTAACACTTTCAAAAAGTAAAGGTAATAAAGGCAAGATTGTGAGCTTTTTACAACAAAAAGTCGCACTTTGGGAGACTAGTAAAGGTGAAGACCAGAAAATGTTTCTTTCTGAGAACTTAAGAATATACTGACTTAAATCAGCTCCTATTTAAAACAATTATGCCAAGTTCATTTACGGCTTTGATTTGGCTCCCCTTAGCACCTCTGTACGATAGACAGATACTTTATTATAAACACCATTGCAGCCATAGGCTGAATTACGGGATATTTACAAATACTGATGATAACAAAGAGAACATAAGAAAAAATTATCTACATCTTATAGACATGGCTAAAAATAAAACTTTTCTTCAAACGCTCGGTTTTACATAGGGGGAGAGTGAAATCACTTTTGCGTCTCAGAGCATATTTACAACTCTTCCTTTGGGGGAGGAGGCTATGGAGACTGTGGGTGGGGTTTCAGACGATCTCGTCAAACAGATCGATTGAAATCTTTTCTCTCCTCTCATGAAGTTTCGGTAGGCCAACTGTTTCTAGTGCTACACTATATGACAGGTCAGGATGGATGATTCTGAAAGCCCTTCTTTGGATCCGTTTAATTAAAGCCGAACAATATCAAAGAAACCTTTTTCTCCTGAGTACCTAGCACTCCTAATGAGGCATTAAATACCTTTACTTTATAACGCTTGGAAAAAGTATGGCGTATTTTAGCTGTGAAAGTTTATTTCACCTGCTTGGTAGTTGTCACTGGAGGAGTCCAAACACCTCGTAATCTGTGATAACGGACTCATTAGCATCTGTAAAGAACGAGTCCTCCTGTCCTAGTGGGCACTGATAGGTGCTGCCGAGAATGCTGATACTAACAGGATTTGTGTTTGCATCATTCTGATTATTTAATATCCATAGGTCATTCCCATCACCAAAAGCTGGTCCATAGCTGCTATCACAGCAGATGCCACAAACCTTCCCAGTAATGAGCGACAGTTTGATCGGGTCCAGGCCACTTGGGTTTACAAAGCTGAACAGGAAGGCATGGCGACATAACACATATTCATTATGACCTGTGAATAACAGTCGGATTACACCTGGCATGTATATTCAGACATTATATGTGTTAAACAGTCAATTTCCCGTTTCAGTTTCAACCCCATTCCACCTCTTTGATCCTATATTGAGCTCGGATGCCCACACGGATAACTAACCAGGTTGCTCCTTTGCATAGAATACGAAATTTCGGCCTGAGGCCACCAGCAATAGCTTTTTGAATTCTACCGAAATGGTTTCCCCTGAGAAACGTAGAAATAAGTTAAAGCCAACTATAAAGAAGTTACCAATATCCTGCTCATGGAGTTATCCTGGTTCATGAGTATAATCTAAGGTATTAAATCCTACACACTGGTGTTGTAGTTAGTGTGGCTTACGCTTACCGGCGGGGCTAAAGTGCAGGTCACAGGCCATAGGACACACACAAAAACAATAGCACACTGGACAAAACTGTTCTGGATTGACGTTTTATAAATATACAAAAATAAAACAAGCCAAGGAACCTCTGAACTTTATCAAATTCCACCGCATGGAATATGTTCACGTTGATCACGCAAGGAGGACCTGCGTACAGCGTATTCAAACTTGGTAACAAAATCACAAAGGTTTGCAAAATCACGTAATTTCTAAGAAAAAACGAATCACAAAACGAAGGGTTGTTATGTTAAGAATATCGTGACGTGTTTGTGGATGTTTTGAAAAGCATTAGACGGGAAAACGGAAGAAAAACTTAAGGACATTCTAAAACTTATTTGACCAACTCAAATACGGCAAAAGTTTTCTTCAGACTTTCCTCGTCTTCAACTCTTCTTGCCACTAGATCGGTCTTCCATCTGTTTTGAAGCTCTTTGAAGATGGTGGCCTGTTGCTCGCGCTTCTTACCCTTCGACCCTTCCGGGCTGGGGTGTGCATGCGTTTTCAGACAAACGAATTACAATGACATCATTTTAATAAGCGTACCAAATTCAAACAAAATGAGAAACTATCAACAATTGAAAAAACTGGACAACAACAAATCTGAAAATAGCCGTTGCTAGGTAAAGGTGCCAGTAAAGG